TGAAAATTTTGGCTCCGTCGAGCAATGGGAATTGCTGAAACACATGCGGTTGTTATTATCGTTGAGAAGTTTTCGTGGGCAATCGTTAGCTACTTTATTACGTCGGACTGGGTTTGAGATCAGAAAAGTGTAAACTCAAGGTGTAAATTTCAAGGCACTCCAAGCCAAATTTGATGACAGGGGTGAAGTTGTTGGAAGCTGCTATTGTAAATTTCCGCTCCGATCAACAAGAGGCAATCCGCTCTGCTCCTGGTCTACATATCTATGGTACTATCGTGCGGTGGAGGGTTGAGCTCCTCCATAAATTTTGGAGACTAAAGCGAACAGTTTCGTTGAAGTCACCCTAGCATTCGAAAAAGTAGGGAGTTTTAGCAATGACGACGGCGACGCCGAGGATCAAAAAATGAATCGATGTTTTTATACCTTCCAATGTCTGTAGTATGTTGATCTTTTCAGTACGCCTATCGGTCTAAAACCTTGCTCAGGCTAAATATGCAATGACAGCGGTCAATTCCAAAGGAAGAAACAGAAAATTAGCCATTGCTGTTCGCGTTCTCTAAAATACTTTGAACTTAGTCATTTCACGTTGTTGTTTTGCAGAGACGGCTAAGAAATGGTCCAAGAATCCAAATACACGAGCAGAACTATTCTTCCACTCATTACGCTTTTTGTTTGGTGACTTTCTCTGGCGTCGCCGTCGTGATTTGCTAAAACTCCCTAGTCTCTATTCAGACTCACTAAGAACACCACGGTCTTGCGAGCTTCTAAAGTTCTTGATAACGCAAGATTACAAGTTTCAACCAGGAGCCCATCAGGGGCACCCAACGGATCTTTTCGGTAAATTATCTGTTCGGAAGGCCTTTATAATCCTCTCTGATTTTCTTAAGAAAAGTTTCACCTCGAACTTTCGTGATATGATAAATTTAAAGTGCCACTAACCCCAAAAAAATATTTTCATTTAATAAAATCTACTAGTTTCCCTGATTACTTCAGCGAAAAAGTTATCTCGATTGATAAAATCCCTGCGTTTCTACAGGCGTTTAAACATGTAATTTCCATGTTCACGACCGCGCAAAGTGGGATCTGGGTCGGCCTACTAGTGACGTCACTTCGGGAACAGGGCTAAAACACTCAAGAGACTTTTGACTGAGCTTCGAGGGCAGTCAAACATTTTTGGGTTATTTGTGATTCATATTTTATCAAAACTGGACAATAACTTTAAGTGAAAGAACTGTATCATCTAGCATTACAATTCGGAGTCTAGCTACGATTTGGACGGCTGCG